ATAGCAAATTATCTTATTTGGAGGAGGTGTTTTCTAGGTTATTTTACTTAATTGCTGTGAGGTGAATATTTCAGGTGGATTAATTTAACTAAATGATGCTTGAGTGACTGTATGGCTTTGGGACAGAGGTGAGGAAAACCCCTGTGCCAGTGACTGATGCAAATAAAGAAATTGTTTTTTCTTCTAGCCCTCTAAGGGAAGCTTCAGCCGATCCCCCAGCGGGTGATGGGTGCACTGAGCATCCAACATCTAGGACCAGTAGCTCCAGTGCTGTCCTGTGTGCGGCTCAGGTGGGTGCAGGGGGGCCAAGTTTTTTTCTAGGACTTCAGTGTGCGTGTAAAACAGGGCTGCTGCTTGAAGTCTTGATCAAGTGAGGTGTGCTGTATCTGCAGTCCTGTTGCACGCTTAGGAGCTAACCTGCAGCTCCAGGTGCAGCTCACCTGGTCTCTGTGTCTGCAGTGCAGACCAGTGCTGGTGGCTGCTGGGCTCTGTGTTCCTCCCAGCCTGGTGTCAGAGTGGCACACGAGACCCAGAAGTGAGAAGAGTGCACTGCACCCTCAGATTTTCCTTTCCTGAGTACTTCCTACAACAATTTACAAAATATATGCGGTACGAAATGTTCATTTATCAGTGTTCCCCACTCTGTATTCTGGGTGAAATCTCTCAAGACTCAGCAGCTGATAGCAGTAAAGTCAGCACGTGTTTGGTATTTCTTAGCTGGTTTTGAAAGCTGTGTGAGGATCATCCAAAAAAGTGAAAGCAATGGGCACAGCTGCACAAAACTCCTTTCCTGTCACAACTTCATTAAGAAAAGTTAGTCCTGTGAGTTCCTAAAAAAACAAACGTTGGCTGGCATCAAAGTTAGTGAACAATAACCAGAGCTGCTATTTTCAGCTCTATATTAACCCAGCTCAGCCTAACATTGTGCTGCATCAAACTCAGAATGCAAGTAGGACCTGCACCGACTGGCCATCTGCATCTCCACCTGTGCTCCGTGTGTTGGGCTCACACAGCACGGGGCCACCAAAGAGGTGGGCTGAGAATCCTGCCCTGCAGGACCTGCAGAAACACTGCTGGTGTTTAACAACACCTTGAGATGTCTGTTGGGAATTTCCTCTGGTTGTCTCAATGGTTACCCTTTAATCATTATCATCAGTTTTATCGTGTGAAGTCGTGCTCTCTCCTGGAATGCTGTAAGAGAGGAGAAGCACAATGCAAACTCAAACTCAGTTTGGCTTTGCTCAGAGCAATGGGTGTAAACTCAGTGCCGACTCCTGAGTTCTGCAAGTTTTGTTTTCGCTGATCCCCTTTTCTGAATTTCAGGTGTTAACAACTAACAGTAGCTTTGACGTGAAGTGCATTGCTAAAACAATTAGCACGCATAATTAAATTGCTATTCATACTGATTTTTCTCTTCTAAGGAGAAGCTTTACTTCAGCTGCTCGTTGTTTTAGAGCAATCTGTGAACAGAAGTATCATTGGGAAAAATAGGTGGGTGGCATTTCGGGTGAGCGAAACGCACCACTAAGCAAATGAGAAATCAGTGTAAATTTCTTCCCTTTGACTTCATTTGCTGCAGATTAAGTTTGTTCCTAATGGTGAATATCAGGTCAAGCTTTTAGAATATTGAGCTCTTCCCATGCAATGAAACTGAGCGAAAGTGGCAAAAGTGAAACCTGTTTTTTTTTTCTGAACAAAATGGGAATGTTTTTAGCAGTTTGTTCTTTTTCTCTAGCAGCCAAGGTGCAGCACTGTCTCTGAAAGCACTGTGTGTGTGGAGCCATCTGCGGGCACTGTGGGCAGCAGGTGGGGTGACCCACAGCCATGGGTGGCATTGGGACCCAGCACTGCTTCCTGCTGGGTGCTGCAGGGCAGGCACGGTCCAGCAGAGCAGTGGCAGCGGTTGGGATTGATCTGCCCGGTGCCTGGCAGTCTGCTGCTTTGCACCGTGATCATTTTGCTGTGCTGTGGGGTGCATGTTGAGGCCTTTTCTCGGTGTGATTGCTTCTGCTGGGCAGCTCTGATCCCAGCCCTTCTCCAGAGTGTGTGGTTATACTCATTGTGAAAGCAGTGGGTGTGCTTTGTAATATGGTGAGTGTAGGAGGGCTGAAGAGAAAGAAGTAATGAAATACATTGATTGCAGTTACTTACCTGCCTGACTGCAAAGGACACAGCAGGACCACACAGTAGGACTGGGACCTTTTCTGTGCCTATCCCACAGAGCACTACGAGTCTCAGACGCAGTGGGAAGTGCTGGAAGGTGCTGCAGGAGTGGCAGACAGATGTGGTTTGGCTGTGCTGAGAGCCCAGTTGCTTGGAGGAGGAAGTCCTACTGGGGAGGCAAGATTGAGAACGGGCTGGAGATAAAGCAGCAAAGTGCTCAGCGCCTCCTGGTCAAAGAGCCAAATACTGAACCTTTGCTTCACTGTGCTCTGCTTCTCTGCCTTTCCCAGCCCTATCCTCCCTCAGCAGGTAGAAATGGGGTGCTTTGATTGGAGAATGGGATGTAATGATTGAAAGAGCAGTGAGCGTGTGAGCATGTCAATAATTAAACAGTTCTAAAATTAGAAGGAAAGAAAACCCCAAAGAGTTGAGAAATTTGTATTAAAGCAATAGAAGTCCTGCCCCATAAAATTACTCTGTGCAGCCAAAAGCAGCTGTCTTCACCTGGTGTCTGCCACGCCGTATCAGGAGTGCGAGGTGACATCATGAAGTCTGCAGATACATTTTCATGTCATCGGGCTGATTTGTGTCATTTGATAAATTGCATGTTTGTAAAATCAATGCTCTTCACCGTGTGTGCTCTGCTTTGCAGTGTCAGTTCTCTGCTGGAGACGGCAGCAGCTCATAAGAGCCATCGCTCCATGGCGTCGCGCTGCCACTTCAGTCAACAGCCTGCATTTTCCAGCAGAGTTGATGTAAAAGATTAATGACTTGCACGAAGACGTGTAAGGTGAATTCTCTTTAATTTTGCTTAATGACATCTGTGTGGTTTTTTTTTTTTTTTTTTTTTTTTTTTAGCAGGAGACAAAAGGGAAAATTAAATCCTGGCGAGAGGTGAGAAACAGCCACGTTCTGTACTGGGCTGTGCTGAGCTCTGGCTATGAGCTGATCTCTGTGCCTTTACCACCAGGGAAACTGTGCTGCGGTGCTGGGAAAGCTGTGTCCCTGTGTGGTGTGCAGGTGTGGGGCTGGGCCCATGTGGGCGCCCCGCATAGTGACTGATGGGCAATGTCTTCTGTAGGTGTGTGCAGTGACGAATCCTCTGGAGGTTTAGAAAGTGGCAGAGCATCTGCTGCCCTGCAGCTGGGCGTTGAGTGGGTGTGCTTTTAAAATTCCCTTAGAAGGTGCTGGTGATTTTTAACTGTACTGAATTATTGAGATGGAGCCTTTCGGCCCCTTCGATGCAGCACAGAAGTGCTGCCATAGCGTTATTTCTCTGGGCTGCGCAGCGACCTTGGAAGTAAGGAACAGCGACCTGCTGCAGTTTGTAGCTGCAGGTAGAACTGTTCTGGCAAACACGAGGTGAAAAGAACATCTTAATGAATATTAATGTGTCAAAACTTACGACCAGGAGTTGTTCACAAGTTTAATGATGGCTCACTGCTCAGCGCACGTGGCTGGAGACATGGATCAGCATTGCTTGGAGCTGATCTCTACCCCAGAGGAGCTCCTCGCTCCTCCTGAAGATGCACTGTTGCCCACAGCCCACACTCAGCACCTGATGCACACTGCTGCACCATGCTGTGTGCTGTGCTCTGGAGCCTCCCTGGCAGCACTGCGTGTTGGAGCATTTCGTTTTCTGCTATGATGTCAGAAGTGACTCTGCAGCTGTTGGGCATAATGTGAGCATTAACACCAGCATGGTGTGTGCCCAACCATGCAGGGCTGCCTCACTGCCTCCAGTGAGAAAGCCCAGCCCTCCTAACTGCTTGGGCTGAGGAACAGAAACACAACACGTGAATCAGACTTGCTTCTTCTGATCATGTATTCTTTTAGACGAGAACCATTTATTGACATAGATTTTCTTGCAGCTCATTTTGCGTTTTCTGTGCCTGAGGTCTCGTAAAATGAGCTGACTTTGAGAGGAATGTTCATCAGTTCTAATTTAGTTTCATATGCAAAGTGCAGTGGTTGGTTTTCCTGCTGTCTGACTCATTTATTAAAGAAAAAAAAAAAACAAAACAAAAACAAAAGCAACCCCATCAAACAGAGCTAAAAAGCAAACTATAGATGCATTTCTAAAATAAAAACAGGCCACACAATCCTTCTGTGAGACACTGATAACACGTAGTGCCAAGCTGGACCAGTCCTGTCTATTAGGTAACAATACTGTGCAGCTCCCTGCTCCGTTCCGGCCAATTTGCAACACCCCAGTGACTGATGTAGGATTTAATAGCCTCTCTCGAGTTGTACTGTGTAGTTAAGAGCACATCTGCTGAGGGATAAATCATCCCTTTGAATAGCCCAGATGAATAGCCTTGGCCCTGTATTGTCGTCTAACTCAGCTTTTCAGATCCCCCCAAAAAGGGAGGGGAACAGAATGAAAATCTCAGGAATGTGACATTGCATAAATAAACTTGTTTATGGCTGTGCCCCTCCATCTGTCCGTCTGTCAAATCCTGTGGCCTTCCTCTGGAATGGCAGAACTTCTGTCAGCGCTTTCAATGCCAACGCTTTGAATGTTCGGATGAGCTCTTCTGGTTTTGGGCTGGGGGGGGGGAGGAAGGGGGGCAAACACTGTTGCTGAAGTCATTGCCCATAACTGAAGCAGGTGAAGTTTGCTTGCTTTTGTTCCTTTTTTTCCTTCCTTTTTTTTTTTCTTTTTTTTTTTTTTTTCTTTTTTTTCTTTTTTTTTCCTTTCTTCTCATGGAAGGTGAGAAGAGGAGGGGAAGATATTAAGTAACATGTCTTAAAATGTATCATCTTGACCTGACTCTCACAGAGGGAACCCTTTGCAACATCCACCAACAACCTCTGATCAGTTATTTGTCCTGCAGGATGCAAAGGCACAGAGATGCTCCGCTGCTGCTTTCAGGAGCTGAGGTGTTGAAGACATAAATCCATACAACGGAGGAGCATCGCATGGGAAACACTGCCTTCAGGAGAGTTGTAATGGTAGGTTAAATTCTCCTTCTAAGAGTGATAGTGGAATGAAGTACAACATAATTATGGATTACAGGTATTAAGTGGCGGAGCAGTGCAATTGCAGTTGTCTCTCAGCACACATCTCCTGTCATCCCCACGGGGCTCCACTCCTCCTGCCAGTTCTGGGGAGATGGAGATCGTTCGAAGAGCAGCCGAAATGATTGCAGCCAGGATAGGATTTATGAGGAAAGGTTGGAGAATTAAATATGTACGGGCTGCTAAACGGTGACTAAAGGGGAAGCATAACTTTTTATGAGAGTCTGAAGGTTACAAATATCCAGGATTGAAAGATCCATTCTGCATGGCACAGGCAGGATTGCTGGGTGTGACGGGACAGTGCTGAGAAAAGGCACTTTTTCAAATGTCACTGATATAATTTGTTCACATTAATGTAAAGGAAAAAAAAAAACAAAGAAATAATCCCAAGCAACACAAAACCTATGGGGAAAATGACTGGAATGGCTCCAGTTCTTGTCACTAGAGTCTTCCCACTGAGTCACTGTGCATCAAACAACAGTGTGCACAGCTCCAGCATGGAGCTCTGCTGTCATGGGGAACTTCCCTCTGCTCCTGAGGCATGGAGAGAGGTCAGCTCTGAGGGTGGCAGATGAGAGCTTCAGTTGTATGTAAAAGTGGTAGATGTTGAGTGGAAATGGGCAGGGTTGGTTGAAGAACTGTCCTCAGATTGGTGTTACCCACCACAGCATCTTTCTGGGCTGCAGACTGGATGAGCTGGATTGATGAGAAAGGATGCCAGAGTCACCACGGTTAACTTTGTTTGCGGAAGCCGATCGATGTTTCCATTGAATTGCAGAGGTTTGGGATTAAGCCTGCTCTGAAAACATCCCGTAAAAAGGCCAGAAACTGTTAGCAATTATTTTCTCTTTCCTTCTTTAAATCTCTTTTCTGTTGAGGAGCCTTGCTGCAGTTTTCCCATGGACTTTCCTCATGTCTCCAGGCCATGGGTGCTGCAGGGATGCTGGGCACTGCCCAGTGGTGCTGCCCAGAGGAGCCCAGCCCAGCAGCATCCCAGAGCTGGGAGAAAAGGCGTAGGGGGCAGCAGGGGTGGCAGAAAAGTATTTTGCACTTCTTTCTTTGCACAGCCAGTTTTTGACACAATTCTGTTGTCTTTAGAAAAATGAAACCCCAGGAAGTGATCCTGCATCTTAACAGCTTTGTCAGCAAACTTTCATTCTGGTGTTCTGGGGCCATTTTTCCTGAACTGCCATTGTAATGGATGGTGAATGTTTACATGCCCGGTGTGAGCTGCTCAGATCCAAAGTCATTCTGGAAATAGTCTGTCTGACAGCCATTCTATTGGCAGAGAAGCTATTTAAATGTGCAGGCTGTGCATGAGATGAACTGGCTGCCCTGTGTGATGGCAAGTGGAAGCTGATGGATTCTGTTTGGGCCACCAGGTGACCTTAATGCTTTCCATTCTAATTACTTTCCTGTCAGATGTTCAATTAGAGTGACAGGGTCCCAAATTCCCAAAGATCTCTGTTTTGTCTTAGAAGATTAAAGGGTGGCAACTATTTTCAATATGATTATCATCATTATCTCTGGGAGATTTTATACTTCAGAAGTCAAAGTCATAACAGCCTGGCTCACCGCAATTATTTGCAAATTGCCTTAATGTATTTTCCAGAAGCTCTTTCTGCACTTTGTAATTTATTTATTTGCTAAGCCAACAGCACATTAAAACGCTGAAATGTCTCTGAACCTACATGAAGCCTGTCTGATGGAACCGGCGCAGACATCGCCAACATCGCCTTGACCACCAGCAGCCTTAGCTGCACTTTGCTGGAATGCCACCCAGGGGTTCTCTTGCTCTTGTTGGTAAATACCCTGAACATTTCTCTTCTTTTTCCCCTGTTTTTCCCCTCTTTTTGGTGATGTTGCAGTTCTCTGTGCTGGTGGAAAAGTTTGTGGAAATATACATATGAAACAGTGCAGGAAAATACTTACATACACACACAAGCTTCTCCAAGCACAACTTGCCCCTGAATGCACATTGCAGTGGTGCAGGTGTGGGATGGAGAGCAGCACACAGAGAACCTCCAGCAGGGCTCTGCTGTGCAGCAGGAGGCAGCAGGGCTGCAGGGTGGCAGCACAGCAGGCAGCAGTGCTGAATGCACTGTTAATATCCTGACCATTTCTGCGCCCTTCCTTCTTCCTGGGGAGAAAAGATACGATGTGTCCTGTGTATTAAATGGAAACTAACTCACACGGCTTTTAAAATACGCTTGGCTAATTGTTCGGGAGTAATTTCCAGACCGAGAGTTACATTGTAATAATTGTGAAGAATGACTGAACCACAGAAAAAGGTAGATGGCTTGCAGACATTTTGTGAACAGAAAATGAGGCTAAACTCATTGAATAAATTAATTGCTATGGATTATTCCCTTGGCTTTAATCTGCCGCCTGCTGAAAGAAATCTCTGCAAACAGAAAAGCTGGTCCGTAGCTCTCATTTTGAAATGTGGCTGCTTTGCACTGAATAGGAGAGAAAAGAGGCCTGAAAGGCTTTTTTCTGTGTTGTAATGATGTATCACGCTTGTAACACAATTTTCACCTTCAAAGTTTTACCTGCCCTTTGGGATGGGGTAGTTTTATAATCCCATTTTATTAGCAAGCAGCAGATGGAGAGCCTGCAGGGAAGAGAGGCCGTTTCTCCCAAGGCCACACATTGTCTCCTTGGCAGAACTGGAGCTGGAGCTTGGGATTTTGCAGTCCCTGGTTGATGCTTATGAAATTCTTCTGTTTGAAGGCTTCTCCTTCCTTCAAAAACATGCATACTGGGAGATGAGCAAAACAGCCCTAAGCTGATTTGAGGCTTTGCCAATGAGAATACAAAGAAAAGAAGAAATGAGAAGACAAGTCCTCCAGTCCTCCATTTGAGAAGTTCAATCCTGGTAAAGAGGAATTATATATTAAGACCCAGACAGATCCTCTCAGATTTACTATCTCAGAGGACAGCAGTGAAAGCAAAATGTTTTCCTCTGAGGATTATGATTACCTGACAGGGCTTTATCATTACCAGGAGGAATGACCCCAGTTTAGGAATGATCTGTTTGTTTATACATAGCTGTTGCTTTTTAATAGTGCAGTCTTTTCTTGCTGCTATGAATATTGATAAAAATAAAACTAGGGTCCATGTCTTTACTTGGATGAAATCTGCGATTTAAAGCATACTTTGAAGAGCCTTCAGATCAATCCCTGGGTTTTATGAGCTGCTGGCAGCGATTTATGTGGATGTTAGACCAGAGGTCCTTCCAGGCACAGCACATGAGCTGTCTGTAACACATCAGCTGAAGGCAGCCTTCCTCCCTGCTCGGTTTGGCGTGGCCGGGGCCGGGGTGTCCTTGAGCTGGAAGTGCTTTGTGACAGCCTGGCAGCTCAGGACAAGCCCTTTGCTATTAATGGGGCTCGGAGTGGTGTCACTGTGCTCAGATTTATGCACTGTGCAGCTCATCCCTTTGAGGAAGCATTGGCATTTCTCCTTGTGCTGGGGCTGATGTCCCCTGCTTGGTGTTGTTTATGGCTGGGCACTGTGCCCCTGCCTGCTCACACGGCAGTGGGAAGCAGCTCTGTGCTTCGTCTCCCTGAGCTCTGGTCCAACTCGCACTGCATGACCAGCAGCTGTGTGCTGCAGGGCTGGGTTAGGGCTGGCGTTGGAAGTTTGCTGAGCAGAGTGCATGTACCCCATCTGGTACCACTGCATCCGCTCAGTTGATCAAAACGGATTCTTCCCCTTCATTTGATAAAGTCTAATGGAGCAGAACAAGAACCAACACCAACGTGAGCTGTGAGACAGCTAAGCTGTCTGTTGCAGGAAGCATCCAAGGGCTGCAGTCCTTTCCTGCAGGTTCTGTTCTCTGGCAGCCCCTTCAGAGAAGCCATTCTGCGATTATTGCTGCTGGAACAAGGAGTAACCAAATCCTGGCCTTTTTTGTGCTGGTTTGTGCTGCTGGTGGTTTGTTCATCACATCCCTCTGTGCACACCTCAGCTCCCACTCCTTCCAAAGGCCTTTTCCTCCCATGGCTGCCATTCCCACAGCTGCCCACCCAAGCCCCCCCAGCACACTGTTGTGCAGCTGCTCCAGGCCCAGTTCTGCTCTATGTGGGGATTTGTCCCTCTGGTTTCTTACTAAGAAAGCCTCCTGGTTTCCTTCTGCTGCTTCAAACACTCATTGACAGTCAAACTTTCAGCATGAAATGACACCAATGGAAAGAAACAAAAGTACCTGTCGTTTCCTGATGTGCCTGAAGCCGTAAAGTGATTTGTATACAAATGAAAATCAAGATTAATCAAAATCTCTTTCTGCACGTTCAGGGGGGTGAAACCTCCAGCAGCAGTGGCAGAAGCACACTGCACTGAGTTCTGCAGAACAATGTCAGTCTTTTTTATACAATGCTGTTCATTCGAAGTTACATTTTCATCTTCTAATTTATTTGCATGAAAAAGATGGCATGGCATAAATCATCCTGTGTAGGTGGCTGGGTTATTTGCATTTCAGAGGTTGTTTTTAACTTTGTATTAGAAAGGAATTTGCCATTGAGAAGCTTTGGAACATGCTGAATTTTCTGGCTGGTGATTCTCAGGAGGTGATGAAAGACCTTCTATCTGCTTGGGACAAACCTCTTGGAGTCTGTATCTTTCTTAAGCAACAGCAACAACAAAAACAACAAAACAAGAAACCAAACTACTCACCTACAGCAAAGGCCAGGAGCAGCGGCTCTGCAGGTGGCTCCATGGGGTGTGGGGCATCTGGGACTGGCACTGGGACCCGACAGCATCCCATGGTGTTCCCAGTGCTGCTCCTCCTCACGGATGGGCCTGGGGCTCTGGAAGGCCTCAGTGAGGCTGCACATGGCTGTTTCCTGCTAAAGAAGAGTGATGAGAATCTGTATCTTAGATTCAACACGGCATGGAGCACAAAGGGACCAAACCAGCAGAGTCAAACGTATTTTATTAGTGATGAGCTGAGGCCGTGCATGAAAGAGCACATCTGACATGTTAAATGTATTATATTTCCCTTCAGGAAAGGAGTACTCAGAGGGACGAGGGTGACGAACTGAGCTGATTAACTCAGCCTGGCAGTGATGAGAGTGGCATGGACAAAAGGTCGGTGGTGGACTGGGGATGGAAGGGGCTGGGGAGCAGCAGCCCCTGCCTGCAAGCAGGACAGAGCTCAGAGCTCCTTAAAGACACGGGGAAATTGATCGCTGCTTCATTACCCTCCTTGCTGATTCATCTGCCCATCAGCCTTCCAGCAGTTTCTTACTGCTGCTCTCAGTTTACTCTCTATTAGAATGGATCTGTGGTCAAGTGGTTCTTAATGATACACAAACATCCTAATACCTTGTAAATTGAATCCCGGAGCTGGCTGGGACTGCCTCTAAGTGCTTGAGTGGGAAAGCACTTCCTGAGCCCGGGGTGCCAGATAACGGTGTGGAGAGATGTAAAGTGACCATTGCTGTTCTCTCTCCTTAGAGAGAACTGCTCCTTTCCAGTTTTCCTCTTGAGACAGCTCCCTTAGCACGAGAGGCAGTGCTTTCACCAAGTGGGACTCTGACCTGTTTCTGCTTGAATGAGTCCTGTGTTTGTTGTTCTACCTACAGCTCTTTTTCTTTATGATTGGACAACGACCCTCCAGCTCTTCAGGAATGTTTACTGCATCACTGCAGTATCTGTGTTCATGTCCTGCATACAGGCAAGTGGAGAATGATATGGCACACCATAATGAATATCCGTGTCTGTTCTGTCATATCCTTATGATTTATTGGTTACCTTGGGATATTCACAGAGATGCAGGTGTTATTCTCCTATTTTTGCAACTATCTGTTTTGGTAGAATCAGTACTTGCTGTGTTGAGGTGCTTTCTGTTGCCTAGGGCTATTGCACTTTGGTCTTTAATCTCAGATTTTGCAAGCTGAGTGAGTTGGGGATTGGCCAGAATGTGGGTGAGAGATTTATAGGAATTCCATGATGCCGAGAGGAATTGTTTGGGACTGAAGATGGCTCTTTCTGCTTGGAGTCAATGCTGGTGTAACAATAGGGGCACAAATACCCTGGCGCAGGGGTGTGCAATGCCGCAGGCTCCGACTGCAGAGGAGCTGCGAAACACATCCTATGAACCTCAGAGTGCCTCAGCCAAAATCAAATGTATGTAATCAGTCCTGCATTCAAAAGCTTCAGAGGATGTATTGTTACTTTTCACTCTCTCCTGTAATGTAGCACCGGGGATTTCAGGGCACAGATGTTCTGAGGAGGATGGAGGGGGAGGATTGTCCGTACAGACAGCGCGAAGCCAGCACCCCTCACATAAGCCTGGTGCCCTCTGTGGTGTGCTGGAATGAAGCAGGAGCCACTGCTGGCCTGCTGGGTATCTGTGAGCCCCCACCTGAGCAGGGTGTGTTGGCACGGTGCGCTGCAGCTGTTCCTTCCCATGGGGATGCAGCGCTCAGTGCTGTGCCCATGGCTGCTGCTGGGGCACTCCTGGGGCTCATGGGAGGCACCTTGGTGCTGCACCAGAACGCCCCGAGTTGGGAGATTTCCCTGCAGCAGTGTGGAAAACAATGGTGAAAAACTGGCCATCGATTTCAAAGCATTGTGGGACTGTGAGAGCAATGTTCTCCAACCGCTCTCATTTGCCATTAGTGAGTGACCCCTTAATCACACTGACAAGTAGTCGCTCGCACAAATAATCCTATTGACAGCGGTTGGGCTGGAGCGCATCGCTATAATTTAGCAAATAATTACTCCGTTGTTTAGAATATAAATGCTTCTAATTTATGTAGGAATGGGAGGCGTTTCCATCTCTTTCATTAAAGAAAACATGATGTGAATCGTCACTTACTGAACATGTCCAGGAAAAGGCAGTTTCAAAGCAGCATAATGCAATAAATAGAACGTCTCTTTTTCTAGCACAGGTAATGTGAGTTTCCCAGCTAACATCTCCTGTGTTTTTCTGTTGCCTAAAGGGTAAACTCGGGCTGAACTGAATGCTGGCTTCTTTCCAGGTAAGTCACCCTCAGCAGCGAAGCCCATTTGTTTTGAACGGTGTTGTTTTTTAGCTGGTGGTGGGTGGCTCCATCCTGCAGAGCTGCCTGTGTTCATAGAGCTAATGTGAGCCAGGAGAAAAGGAAAGTTCTGCCAGAGGCTTGCTGATACAATGCTCGGGTCATTCACAGAGTGCTGTAACAGCTGTAACAACCCATTGTATTTCCTGCAGACTGAGGTATGACTCTGCTTGTTTGGATGCCTCTGAATTCTTCAGTCCTGCAGAATTCCAGTTTGGAACCTGGCTCCCCATCCCTGGGCAGTCCTGCAGTTCCCATCAGTGGCACATCACCTCCCTCATGTTTTCCCGAGTAGGGATGCAGCTCTCAGCTCAGTGCTGCAATGCTGTTTTTGTCTCTTCTCCATTTCTTCTTATTGCTCAGTAAATAGTAAAAGCATTCCTAATTGGAAAAAGAGGCTTCAAAGAAGAAATTGCTTCTTATTCACTGCATTCCCCCACACTTGGGATATCGATGTACTTTTTGGTAAGCCCCCCCTCTCCTTTTTTAAGGAAAAGTGGAATTCCAGCTTCTATTTGTGTGTAATCTACTGAGCAGCAAGGGGAGATGGCATAAAAAGAAATCTCTGGAGTAACACAGGGAGAAAAACAAACTGATAACTCCTGACAGATTGATGGCTCCTTCCTTCATCTAAATCTTTACAGATTAGCATGTCTCTTCTTTCACAGATATGTTTGTTTGAACTATGTCATCTAACCTAATCTGTACAGGAAGTATATTTATCCTAGAGCAGTGGGGCATTTGTACTGCTTGCTTGTCACCAAGAGTAATGAACAGGAGAGGTAAGATAATTTCAACCACATTAAGGGCTGAGAGTGACTATGGGTGTTTTGATAATGGGATGCTAGGAGTGAATAAACTGAAGTGCTTTTGTTGTGTATTTTGCTAATAATAGACCTTTTGTTATGGATTCTTCCTGTGTTTCCTCTGTTCCACTGCTGAGAGGGGGCAGGAGGGGCACATGAGGACGGGGTGACACCGAGGGCTGGCTGGGAGCCCCCGGTGGGGCTGACCCAAGGAATTAGGCATCGGTGTCTGGGACCCCCAGGCAGGGCTGGCTTGGAGCCTCCCCAGGTTGCTGCCTCCCCCAGAGCCTTCTTCTGCAAATAGAAGGCAGCACTGAGTGAGGGGAGACGTCGCTGGGCACATCAGCACCAGGGATGAGGCAACGTTCCTAGTCACAAATATGACCGTTAACTGGGACTTATTTTTATTTTCTTCTAGTGTTTTGCTGATGAAGCTGACAATCTCCAGAAGCTGCTTCCTGCCTTTGTTTGGTGACCAGCCCTCCTGCAGGTGAGACAAGTTATCCTCTGCTGTTTGGTATTCAGCTGTGGAAGGAGCCCTCCCGCAGTCCTGCTAGGTGTCCTGGTTTCTCTGAGTCTGATTCTCCCTTTTTCAGTAACTTTGGTTACTGCCTTTGCTACCTTTCATCTACCGATTTCATAGCACTCTACAATTGTCAGGAGTCATTTGAATTCTGATCCTGCCCTTAGAAGTCCCTGCAACCCTTCCAGCCATCACCAATTGTATCTGTGTCACCTCTGCTGCAGCACTGGAGCCTGCACAGGGCACCTGGGAGCCATTCAGCCACCCTTTATCTTCACAGGGGGCACTCGAAACACTTTGGTGATTTTCACTGTATTTTTATGTTAATTTTATTTAGACTTTGCTTGTTGAGCTTTACTTGTGAGCCCACATTCAGGTGTTGTGTTTTGGCAGCAATGAGCTTGTTTTCCCCCCCCAGCACATTCCCTCCCTGCCATGGCCTGACCCTGACCCCTTCCCTGCCCAAATCCTCCTGAGGTTTGACTTCTTTTACTATTTATTTCCTCTTGAGAAACGTGTAAACTCACCTTGGCTACACCTCTTGGGCCACTGCCTGTCTCCAAGATGACGACAACCTGACTGGTGAGTCATAGAGTTCAGTACCTTTGAAGCTGACATGGAGAGCAGTGATTTCTAAATGCATCCCTTCTGATGGGAGTGGTGCTTGTCCTTCTCTGGGATTTTGTATTTAATCCACTCTGCTGTCTTTCCACTATTGAAAACATTTTCCATCGTAATACACAACAGACATGTTCAGTAATTGGACGCTTACATAGTGTAGAGTGTAAATTACGGAATCAAAGTTCTGAATGCTGTAGAAATTCCACCAGTGATATTCCTGGCTGGAGAATATTTGGAGGGAAACAACTACAGCCTGCTGGCCAGGCTCACCCAGGTGTGCACACTCACCTCTCTTCTCAAATCCGTCTTCTTTGGGGTGTTCTAGGGTCTGTAACTCCATTGCTGCTCAGGCAGCCTCTCTCACGCTTCTCTGCTGTTCTTCCAAGTTCTTTACCTCCTACTCATCTTGTTCTTAACCCTATGGGTTATAACTCTGCCCCACACTGTTACTGTGAGCTGCCTTTCCTTGCCCTTACATGCAGCATGCCAGCCTGCAACCTTCCCCTTATCCCAGAGCAGAGCAGTTCTGCCTGTAGACCCATTGCCATCCTGATCAGGCATTTCCTTCCATCAGCAGGTTGTTGAAATTAAAAGCCTTTTCAAGAGTGCTGTGACACTTAATAAATCATACATCATATGGACTGCTTGCTGTACACAGATGGCAACAAAGCCATTTTTCAGCTTGCTGGGGGCTTTTCCTCGAGCTCCTGCACACCGTGTCACTAACAAGGCCACGGGGCAGCTCAGAGGCACTACCTCACTCCTTGTCTTTTCCTCTTTTAACCCTTTTAGGATTACTGGTGTTACAAGGCCACGTGAAACCAAATCTTTCCTGTGTTGTAGATTTCACTGAAAATCTAACTTGAAAATCTAATTTGCTGCTGAAAAGATCTTACAGAGGAGATTAGTCCTGTTAAGAAGTTTTTGGACAACTGTTTACCACATCCAAGGCAGAGAAGTTCTTTGGGATCCTCCATGTGACTTGAGTGGGAGTTCAAGCAAACCTTCTGCCATGAAGATAGCCAAAATCAATACTTTGATTCATCCCAGGGAATGGAAAGTGTGATAATGTGCTGAATGCTACTTTGGCTTCTGATGTACTTCTTACATTATAAGAACTGATGAAGCATTTAATGGGAGAGTAGAGAAAAAACAACGAATCAGGGAGTGTTCCCCTAGGCTGCTGAGTACATGTGGTGTGATAAAATGCCATTATTAATCTCAGCTGGGGGCAAATGATGGATTCACAGTAGAAGGAATCAAATCCCATGCAAACAAACCACAAGCACTTGGAAAAACATTTCAAACATAAATGCAAAAATTACAGATGTTACATGAAGCTCTGTGGGAAGTGGTCCCGAGTACAGCCAAGCATTGAGCAAACTGTTGAATGCAATTATTTCTCTTCTTTCTCCTTCCTCGGGTGTCTCTCAGCCAGATGTGCTGTTCCCCATTCCCAGTTGCTTTGCTGCACTGCTGCTCCCCTTTGCATAGCCTGCAGTCTCTCCCTCGTGTCCCGCTTTGTTTACAGTGCAGGAGCCAGGGCTGCACATTGCCTTCCTGCAGGGGCAGAGGTGGCAGAGCTCCCAGCCCCATGGCCACGGTCCCCCTGGGCCTTGGGGAGCTGTGGGTCTGTCCCTGCTGGGGCTCTGCTCAGTGCTGTGTGCTGAAGAGCAGCAGCTTGGGAAGGCCATCCAGAAAAGGTACTTCTGCAATGCTGTGATTAGTTTGGGCTGAGTACATATTATTAATTTAATCTTAAGTCAATTTAGAGCATAAATAACGAAGCACCTCTTGGGCCAGCTAGAGTCGAGGTGTGTAGTGCAGCATATGGAATGGAAAGAGCAGCTCCCCTTGTTGTGTCAGTTCCTTGCAGGGCAGCAGTAAGTCACCCTTGTTGCTGGCTCGCACTGCTCTCAGATCCTTGGAGTCATCTCCCACCAGCTGAACATACACCACTGTTGTCAAAGCAACGCCCTCCTCTTCAGAAAGAGCACCAAATTTCTGCATTGCTTTTAACTTCAACAAAAGAGGGTGCTGCAAAGAACAATAGCTGGGGATGGAAGTTACTCTTCCACTGACTCAGGGATGAACTGCTGCAAAGAGAAACCTCCGAGAGCCGAGGGTTCCCTGTCTGCAGCCTTCTGGCTGGAGCTCCGAGCTTCTGCTGAAAAGGAGCTGGGTAAATCTTCCTTCATTCCCGTGCAGATATCACCTCGTATTTCTGATCTGAATTTCACATTCTGTCTTCTGGGAACTGTGATGCTTTTTTGCTCTGGAATGATGCAATTACAATGATATGTGTGCTGCTACCGCTGCTCTCCTGCACTGAGGGCCACGTTTTCTAACTCCTGAGACAATATGGGGAGGTTTAGCACAATTGCATCCAATAAAACCAACCGCTGCTATGATGGCAAAGCTCTTCACAATGCCTCAGATCTGTAAGTGATACATGAAGCCCATCAGTTTTCTGTAGCTGTTGGATGGGAATGAAACAGAGATCAGTCATTCAGCACAGCACCTGACAGCCCGCTGCCCCTCCATGGAGTGCTGCTCGCCGTGCTCTGGCCCACCTCATCTTGGGCTGCGCATGTGGATGTGATCCCCTGTGGGGTGTTATTTCACAACAGGAAATTCTGTGCTCTGAACAGCCAGAATCCCTCATCAGCACACTGTTAAGCAAATACAGTCTTTTTCTGATGGTCAGATTTATAAGGTTGATTGCGACTGTCTGGAGAGGGACTTGAGCTGTGTGAGCTGTTGGCTCAGTGCTGTTGCTCCTGCTGTCCCTCTCTCCTGTTTTCCTTGCACGCAGGCAGCCTTCCCTGTAATGAATGGCCCTGTGCCCACCATCGCTTCGTTGCAGCATCAGGAAGAAACAGATAGATGTTGCCATTTACCTGGGTAAGATAAATAGTGATTGGGTGGTGGGTTTCTTGTCTGAAGATGGATTGAGCAATAGAAGCCATTCTCCCTTGCACTTCTCTTTTCAGGTGGCTGAGAAGCAATTTCAAGCGATGGAAGTTTGGGCCCAGCAGTGTTCATCATGTCGGCTCTAGGAGAGAAATTAGTCACAGTGTGAGTAAATAATGGAGAAGGTGCAGAAGGCAGAGCGAGGCAGCATTTTTCTCCACCTTTTGATTGCTACAGTGCAGAAGGCATTGCCATGGAGAAGTGCAATCTGCACTGTGGCTCTTTCCTCTGCAAAAAGGTGGCCCTGGGGCTGGGCTGGAGATCACCAGCTAGGAATGCCTTCTGGTTTTATAGCCAGGATGCCCTCTGATTTTATGAACAAATATTTCCCACAGCTCTGTGCTGTTTCCTATGGACCAGGCTGTGCAGAAAGCTGTGGAAGCAGTGGCACATTCAGGCTGCAGGACAGCATGGCTGAGAGTTTGGAACTCTATTCCTACTCCTGCTTTTCTGATTGAAAGGATGGAAGTGCACGACATATGCCTTCAAGGTCTGGAGATTTCTCTGAGTCAGCTTAATGTAAACTAAAATTCATTCCTTAACCTGCATGGCTTCTGCTGAGGGACCACTGCTCCTCTGCCCAGTGCTGTGACAGAAATTTCCTGTACTTTTTTGGGATAAGAGCAAAAATATTTGAGTTGTTCTTGCATGTGTACTGTTTGCCCATACTGATGGAAAGAATGTTCTGTGCTTACCATAACTGCTAGCAGCACAGATTTTATAGGATGAAAGAGCAAAACAACACAGAAGTGTCGGGGGTTTCAGCCGGAGGAGACTGAACTCCATACAGAGAGTTCTGTAGGTGTAGCTCCCAGCTATCTGTTGCCTCATCAAAGATGCACTGTACAAAGATTTCTGGTCTGTGCTCTGGCCTTGAATGGAGGTTTGTGGCTGCCCGTGCCATGCTTCCCTTTCATCTCAAGGTAACAGGAAAATTACTTCTGCTGCTCCTTCCTCTTCATATTCATTCATCATTTCCATATGGTAGCTGTGCCGTGGTGCCGCGTGCTGTGCAGCTCAGCTGCGCTGGGAGCTGCCAACGTTAGAATCAATTTTTGCTCTGAAGCAGCAGTGAGGAGCTGCTTCGTATCACGCTGCAAGGAAATGAGCACTGGCTCGAAAGCAGTTGGTTCTGTTTTCCCATTCCTCATATCTCCTTGGGATCTTGGAAAGTTTTTTTGATCATCTTGGACTGAAAGTATGAGCTTTTGATGATTTTCTATGGATACCATTTGGGGGTTACTTTTCTGTGTATAGCCAATAGCGTATTTTGGGGGGTCACAGAAACGTGTTTCTGTGAATCAACTTACTTCATTTCTGCCACTACTGAGTCCAAATGCGAGGAGCTGTGTGATAATTGCAGGGGGGAATGGTAAAGTCTGGCACAGATCTGACTTTTTATTTTCCCTGTTGTGTGTCACAAGTCAGTCTAACTAACATGCAGGTGTTTTGGTCTACAGCTGGTGGCTGCCCTGGTGATGCCAAAGGGCTCAGATCTGCAGTTAATAAAGACCCAGACATGGGTCGATGGAGCTCTTCTATCCCCTCTGATAAAGAGACACCTAGGAGCACAGCAAGCTTCTCCTGCTGAGACAGAGAAAGTGGTTGTGGAAAGTGGACCCTGAGACATGACAGTTGGGCAGGTTTCTCAGTTAATGAGATTTTTCTCAGCTAACAGCCTGCCTGCTGAGCAGCCTGACCAGCCCACCCCTCGTACACACTGGTGGCAGAGTCCCTGCTGGGAGGGGACACAAGGCACGGGGCTCAGATCTGCATGGGGCAGC